AGCTCTTTTGGTGATTAAAAAAGGATCTTCAGAAAATCGTACTGCCTCAATCAAGGTTTCATCCGAAAACATTGATAAATCTACAAATCTCAAGTAATAATAAGGAACTACTTTAACCGCCTGATTCAATATTTCTGGATCATGTTTGAAAGGAGAAAATTCAATAACTCTTCCATTATTTAAAATAGCTGCCAAATTAATGGCCCTGTCATTCATTAGTGTTTCTGGTAGAAATTTCAATATCATTCCTCTTGTTGATACTATATCCATCACAAATTCATAATCATTTTTCAAACTTTCAGATGCAAGATTGAAAAAATTCGAATCTCTCTGCACAGCCAATGAGATAATTTCCTTATCTGAAGAGAAATGAGGAGCTACATAATTGTAAGCAGTACCATCCTGCTTAACTGCCTCCAAAACTGTTTCCCTATCTCGTTTCAATTCTTCAGAGGCATAGTAAATGGCAAGGCCTGAATTTTTCACAGCTTGCAAAACTAATTCCTTATCATTTTTCAGTTCCATAGAAACGAATTTCAAATAATCTCCATTCTGAGATGGTACTAAGTGACGGTGAAACGGGGGACGGATGAGACGGAGAACACTCAGTTTCTTACTACAGACGGGAGAAGAGCATCCGCTTAATACTGTTGACGGTAAACCAAAATGGAAAATGCACAACCTTAGTAACACCGATAAATTGAATGATACATTTAATAAAATTGAATTTTCCTATTATATTAAATAGATTCTCTTGTGTTGTTTGGCTTGAATTGTTGGAACGAAAACCAAGCAAGGTATTACGAGAGTTTGGTTGATTTTTTGAAGCAAGGTTTGTTTGTTAAGTTAAGAATATGTGAAAAAATATTTCAACATCTAGTACGTGATGTACTTTGATGATTCTTCGAGTGGTTTCACATCCGTAAGCTGCCAAACTTTCACATCATCATCTCAACATCATCTAAATAGTAGTAATAGTAGTAATTTTTATTATTGGACTTTCATCATAAAATAGTAAATCAATTTTTGGATTATAATTTTTCAAGTTGGTAAACCATCATCGGAACACTCACCAACCGTCATCATAGATATATTTAATATAGTAGAATAGTATGGGTGATTTCTATGTCTTGGAAATATCTTTATTTTGGTGAAACTCAACATTTTACTAAAATCATCATCACTGTTGAATCCATTGGAAAGATTGGAAAACTATTAATGTAGGATTGTTGGAAATGGTCAATAGTAGCATAGTAAATTTTGAACGGTGGATTTTCATCAAGTTTTGATAGGGATAGGTACATGTGAATTTTAAAAAGTACATGTACCATTACTCAACATGTACTTCACCAACTTGGAAACTTTCTTCTAGTACTGTTGTTTAAATCACTAATAAACACCATATTTAATATCAGTTTTTCATTATTTTGTGTTTTGGCTTGGAGAGAGATTTCTAGCCAAACCTTTTATGATTCACTCCTTCAAGAGTGATTCAAAAATTATCAAACTCATTGTGAACATTACACAATGATATTAAAATAATAAAATTCTTGTTTTTTCTTTTAATTTCATTTCTTTCACCTTAAATCGAACAATTAACCTTATTTCCTTAAACATCATTAAGATCAAATTGAATTTCAAAGATGACCAACTTTTTCAACATCTACACCTTATAGGGATCACACTCATATCAATTAATCCATATTTTTCATTTTCAGTAAAAAATCAAAATTTGAACTTTCCAAAGTTTACTATTTACCTGAATTGTTTGAGAAGGAAACTTCTCAAAAAAAGAAGGGTAGTTTCACAACAGTGTTTTAATCAACTAAGTCAAATTATTTCATGTCATTCTTAAATTTGAGACAGAAAGAGAGAAATCTTTGATTTTAGTGAATATTCCACAACAGAGGTGTTGTGTTTGTTTGTGAATTTATTTCCATTTTAAATTTTTCCATTTTGGATTTATTATAGAATGATACATTAGTATTTCCCTTAATTCCATTCTTGCTCCGTCTCTTACTGCTGACTGTCCCGTTTGACAGCTTATTACATCTGACGGATCCCGTTAGACGGGATTTACCGTCACACCGTCAATTAGTATCTCCTCCTCCATTCTCTTTGATATATTCCATCATGAGCTCTTTGTTATTCGAATATTTCCTGACCATGTTCTTGGAATATTATTTATCCCAAAGAGTTTCAAATAGGTCCGTAACCATACAATATCATCTGATAAATCCTCAAGGTTGATCTCATCACTATAATGATGAATAAATACTTGATTAATTAAATCTCTTTCGAATTTCAATTCATTTGGAATAAACTCAATGGCTGAAGGACAATTTTTCAGAGTTTCCAATATTATTTCTCTATCAAATCTCAATTTTGCATTGGCATATTGAATCACCATTCCGTTATGTTTACAAAGTTTCAGCACCACTTC